CCATGCGCAGCACAAGCTTGAACATGCCATAGAACATCTTGCTGCTCAAGGTCAGGGGCTCAGGCGCGTCGCGTGCTTTCCGCTGGGAGCATATCGAAACTGCTGTTCCTGCCAAATAAGACCACACTAGTGCACCTTTGTTGGCGCAGGTCCGCCCGCTGAATCAATGAGGTCGCACGGCGTCTCTGATGCCACGACAGCTCCGTCTGCATAGCCCTTACACGGCGCAAGCACTGCAGCCGCTACTTTGACCGTCGTAGGCCCGAGAGGGTCGCAACACACGCAGAAGTTGCTGGTGTCATCCCTTGTGTTGAACTCCATGATGAATTTCGAGGCGGGGACGCGCAATTGGAGATGTGAAAGGGACAGGGGCGAGGAACATATGAGAGGGACCCAGACCTCCGGCGTCGGGCTACTTCCCCGACGTGCGCCCAATGTTTCAACGCTCGCTCCCCAACCAAAGGGTCCCTTGCATCGTCTCGGCTACACGCAAGCGTGACCCCGGGCAACAGTGACCTCTGGTGCGAGGCCGAGGGGGGTCCTTTGGGGACACCACCGGGCACGCAAGCCGCTGCCATCGCATCGCCTTCCACGACCGGGGTGGACGGTTTCCCCCGGGGCAGTAGGCGACCCGAGGGGGGGAGGGCGAGGAGGAGGAGAGCGAGGAGGAGGAGGAGGAGGAGGAGGAGGAGTAGGAGGAAGAGGAGGAGGAGGAGTAGGAGGAGGAGGAGAAGGAGGAGGAGGAGGAGGGGTGGGGAGGGGAGAGGAGGGGGGAAAGGAGGAGGAGGAGGAGGAGAGGAGGAGGAGGAGGAGGAGGAGGAGGAGGAGGAGAGAGGAGGAGGAGGAGGAGGAGGAGGGGGGGTGGGGAGGAGGAGGAGGATGGAGGAGGACGGGCCGCCTAAGCCATTCGAAGAAACCCTCCAGCACCAAGAGGTCACTCTGGCGGAAGGTCACCCTTACGTGCAGTCGGCGTGCATCGTCGCGGGCCAGCTTTTGCTTGCCCCTGGGGGACGAGGGGCGGCGCCCGCGGAGCCAGACCTCAACACCAAAAAAACGCCCGCTGCGAGTTTCCTCCTTCTCCTGCTCCTCCTCCTTCTCTTCCTCCTCCTCCTACTTCTCCTCCTCCTCTTGCTTCTCAGGTCTTCTCCTCCTCCTCCTCCTCCTCCTCCTCCCTCTCCTCCTGTCTTTTCCCTTTATGAAGAACTTCTCCCTGTCGCACCCCGAGGGCGGTCGAAAGGGCGGGCCTGGCGTTTCGCCTGAGAACTCCTTACCATTTACGACCCTGAAGCTTACAACTTGGGCAACAGTTTCACACATGGAGGGCGGGCCGTTTTCAAAATGTGGCTCTCGCCTTCGCGCCGCGCACATTCGTTTTACTTACAGATTTTCAAGAATTTCACGGATTGAGGGCGGCGCCTTTTCAAAATGTGGCTCTCGCCTTAACTCTTTCAAAACATTCAACAGTCTCACGGATCCCACTGAGAAATAATGCTTCATGTTGTGTGGAAAAGTTCAAGATCATGAGGGTGCAACAGTTACGTTGGCTCGCGGTTTTGAAGTCCCAGGCATGGCGTTCTGCCACGATTCGGGATCGTCAAGACGCAATAGTCAGATTGATCCGTGGCGTTAGTCCCGGAAATAATGTTTTGGTACGTTCAGGGTCTCCAAACGGTTGTCTTCCAACGAGGCAGTTCCCTCGGTGGAAATGAATCCTTGTAGGGGCCTGTGAAAAAAGGGAGCTTGAGGGAGGCTTTAATCCAACATCGTTGATGACTCTTGGGCTACACTGGCCCTCCCTCTTCCTCCTCCTCCTCCTTCTCCTCCTCTTCCCTTCTCCTCCTCCTCCTCCTCCTCCTCCTCCTCCTCCTCCTCCTCCTCCTCCTCCTCCTCCCCCTTGTCCTCCTCCTCCTCCCTTCTCCTCCTGTCCGGTCAGCAGCCACCGCAAAAGCGATGCCCGGTGGACGGCTGCCGGGGCTCCTCCAACCCTCGGCGGGCTTCCGGAAGACGTCGGCCATGCCCTCGATGCCCTGGCCCAGGGACTTGCCCGCCTCCGCCATGCCCTCGCGGAAGCCTCGGGAGCGCCACGGGGGGAGGGGGGGGCGGGCAGCTGGGGAGGAGGGTAAAAAAGGTGCGCTCGCGCCATGTCGGACATCATACAGCTGAAAATGAAAGCAAGAACAATAGATCAATTAAGAAATGAGAGCCAGGTTCCCAGAAGTTTCTGAAAACAGGCCTGGGCCCATGTCTATTGCTCATGCTGGTGGGGCGGACGTGCTCAAAGAACTGGGCCAACTTTCTGGCAAGATGGTTAAGAAACGCCAGCCCAACCTTTCGGGAGGAGGTTTCTTAATCAGATGCTCGACTGTACTACTCATCCCACCCATTCCTTCCCACTGCGCTGCGCTGTATCTCTATATCCGCCGACGCGTGCAATAGCGCACCTGAAACTCCCCGAACAGACCCTCATCGTGTTATGCGAAATCGGAGAAGGGGGGTTGCGCTCATAGGATCACGAGGAGGAGTTTGAAGCGTCTGACTGTGGGGGACGAAGCTCCGATTAATGCTTGCCGCTGCGGCCTGCGGCGCGCTGTGCGACCGAGGGGTAGGCCGACGGCTTGTACACAGAGCGGGTTTAGACAAGCTTTGGGGTGCCTGCTGGGGCCCGTCGAGAAACTGCCGTGCCTGCCACGCCCTGCGAGCCTGCAACGGATAGCGCCCCCACCCCCCCAACATACCCCCTCCGATGACGAGGAAATGGCACGCCTGCCAGGCCCTGCGAGCCTGCAACGGATAACGCCCCCAGCCTCCGAGCATCCCCTATGCCATCGAGGAAACGTCACTCTTGCCACGCCCTGCGAGACTGCAACGGATAGCGCCACACTGCGCTGCGCAACCCTTCCTGCGTCTATGATGCCGCGCATGGCGCGCACTGCGGGATTGCATGGGGTAGCGCCCCGCCCCCCCCCCCCACGCTGTGGCGTGGTGGAGACTCCACGCCTGCCACGCCCTGCGAGCCTGGCGCACCCCGCGCCTGTGGTGCCTCGCGTACGCGTCTGAAGTAATGAATGGTCTATGTGTAGTCGTGCCTACGTCTGCGTCGGCGTGTGCTGCATGTGTATGATGTGTGTAGTGAATATGCTGCGTGTGCGCTGCGCGCGGTACAGTCAACACACCAGATGTGTACTAGCGTTGTCAAGTGTGTATGTGCGTGCGTAGGTCGCTGTGTGTGTGCGTGTGTCTGAAATGTGTGCGTGCGCGTGTGTGTGTGTGTGTGTGTGTGTGTGTGTGCGTGCGTGCGTGCGTGCGTGCGTGCCTGCGTGCGCGCGCGCGTGTGTGTGTGTGTGTGCGTGTGTGTGTGTGTGTGTGTGCACGCGTGTGCGTGTGCGTGTGCGTGTGCGTGTGCGAGTGCGAGTGCGAGTGCGAGTGCGAGTGCGAGTGCGTGTGCGTGTGCGAGTGCATGTGCGTGTGCGTGTGCGAGTGCATGTGCGTGTGCGTGTGCGTGTGCGTGTGCGTGTTGCGTGTGCGTGCGCGTGCGCGTGCGCGTGCGCGTGCGCGTGCGCGTGCGTGCGCGTGCGCGTGCGCGTGCGCGTGCGCGCGGCGAGCGCGCGGGCGAGCGCGCCGTGCGTGCGTGCGTGCGTGCGTGCGCGCGTGCGCGCGTGCGCGCGCGCGCGTGTGCGTGCGTGCGTGCGTGCGTGCGTGCGTGCGTGTGCGTGCGTGCGTGCGTGCGTGCGTGCGTGCGTGCGTGCGTGCGTGCGCGTGCGTGCGTGCGTGCGTGCGTGCGTGCGTGCGTGCGTGCGTGCGTGCGTGCGTGCCGTGCGTGCGTGCGTGCGTGCGTGCGTGCGTGCGTGCGTGCGTGCGTGCGTGTGCGTGCGTGTGTGTGTGTGTGTGTGTGTGTGTGTGTGTGTTGTGTGTGTGTGTGTGTGTGTGTGTGTGTGTGTGTGTGTGTGTGTGCGTGCGTGCCTGCGTGCGCGCGTGTGTGTGTGTGTGTGTGTGTGTGTGTGTGCGCATGTCTGTGCTGTGTGGGAATAATAATATGGGAGGTGGATGAGTGTGAACGCGAGTGTCAAAGGGCGGTAGCTGCATATCTAATGCGTGTGTGAGGCTGCAGGGTGGCAAAGCAACGCGGGTGCGACGCGGGCGGGGAGAACACCATAACCCCACCCAGCATGTGAGAAACCCCCAGGTGGTTCCAGGACCTGGTTCCTGCGAGGGGGAGGCCTTTCGGCTGCCTCCCAAAGCTCGTGACGGCAGAGGCGTTCAAGCAGGACCTCGCCGTTTTTTATAGCTCTTGTGGTGCTTCCATCCCTCCATCCGCGGGATCGGCATCGACCTACTGGCGTATCTGCCAGAGCACGGCCATGGCCAGAGCTAGAGAGCTGCCGCAGGCGAGCAGAGGACGGCAAGAACAGGCAACAACGGGAATGGAGCAAAGTCGAGATTCCTGCCATCGCTCGGACGTCCATTCCCCGTTCACGTTTCGGTTTCGTGCGTGTTTTGCTCCGTGATCCAGGGTTCGGCGACGAGCGAGGGGGGGAAGTGAGAAGGAGAAGACCTTCTGAGAAGGTTCGGAAGCCCCCCGGCCTTCTGAGAAGTTTTCTGAGCCTTCCCCGAAGACAGAACAAGCTTCTCAGAAGGCGCGAGGGCTTCTGAGAAGTCCCACCGCTTTCTGAGAAGGCCTTCTCCTTCTCATTTCCCCCCTCGCTCGCCGCCGAAAGATACTCTTCGATGGTCCTCGCCAAGGAAAGAAGTGCACACGTCCGAGCGATGCCAAGGACTGCGCAGTCCGGGGAAAGAAGGGTTGCGGAGGAGGGAGTGAGGAGGCAGCACCACCAGCGGTGCCGCCGAGGAGGAGGAGGAGGAGGAGGAGGAGGAGGAGGCAGCCAATGAAGAGGAAGAGAGGAGGAGGAGGATGAGGAGGAGGAGAAGGAGGAGGAGGAGGAGGAGGAGGAGAGGAGGAGGAGGAGGAGGGAGGAGGAGGAGGAGGAGGGAGGGGGAGGGGGAGGGGGAGGAGGAAGAGCAGGAGGAGAAGGAGGAGGAGGAGGAGGGGGAGGGGGAGGGGCGACCGTAGCCGCTGAGTGCTTACTGAGGTGAAAAAAATCCCTGAGCACGGCTCAAAGCCAAACGGAGGAAAACAGCAACACTGAACGGCCATGCGCGCTGCGGGAGGAACAATGAAAATCAGTACGAAGCGGCAAGAGCTCAGCTTCACAGGCGCACGAGGGAGACGAAAGGGAGGAGGAGCCAAAACATGAGTCAGGAGTCTGAATGTGGTTCGACCTCCTGAGAAGCACGACCAGACAATAACAGAAGCCAAGTGTTAACGGGGCTCATGAAAGATGCTCTGTCGTGCTGAGGCAGTGCAAGTATGCTGTGGTGTGTGTGTTTGTGTGTGTTTGTGTGTGCGAGTGCGCTTGCGCGTGCGAGTCTGCCTTGTGGTTGTGCGTGTGCGAGCGTGTATGCTGTGCGTGATGGGTGTGCGCGTGCGTGCTTGGTTAAGCGTGCGTGTGTGTGTTTGTGTGTTTGTGTGTGCGTGTTGCGGCTGTGCGACCGTCTCTCGCTCTCTCTCTCTCTCTCAGTCCGGAGTGGCGTGTCAAAAGTGTGTGGCGTGTGATATAAACGTGTGTGTGTGTGTTCCCTTGGGTGTGGTACGTATACGCGATGCGTGCAATGTGTTGTGGTGTACGCTGTGTGCTGGTCCGTTCAACTGTGCGGTGTATGTGCTGTGGACCGCGTGCTGTGTGGTCGAACCGTTTCGAGGGCTGTCTGGACCGCTGACTGGGTCACCTTGGACCATTCGGGGGGGTCTTTGGGGCTCCCCTGAAGAACCTGTTGGAGCTCTTCGGGATCGCTTGAAGGCCCTCCTAAGCGCCGTCAAGACGAAGTGTATTCAGAGACACTTCCGAAGTGAAACATATCTGAACCAAAGCACCTTGTGTGTTAAAGCAAGCCTACCTGGCCTCTCAAGAAGGATGATGTGGTGTTTGTGTGTGTGTGTGTGCGCGCTGAGTGATGTGTGATGAATGCTCAGCGTTATGCTCATCGTGCGACACACGACGCACACCATGCACACAACACACGACGTGTGCTGTGACTTGTGCGATAGACGTGTCGTTTGTCGCGTGATGTGTGACAGAGTCTAGCGGAGGACTACATTGAAAGCTTCCTGGACCATCGTGAGTGCCCCTAGTGGACCATGCGGGGGGGGGGGTCTTTGGCAATCCTCTTGGGAGCCTTTCGGAGCTCTTTGGGACAGTGTTCAGCCCCCGCCTGATACTTCCTCACAGCTTATTTCAAAATCGCGCTCTCGCGCCAGACTTCCTCATAATGTATACAGGAATCGCCCTCTCGCGTGGGACCTCCTCGCAATTTATTAACACTCCACGCCCTCGACGCACAGGAATCGCGCTCTCGCTTTGATTCTTCTTTCGGTTCGCTCGGTATAATCGCGCTATCGCTCGAGACTTCCTGTCAACCGCTACCTCAGCTACCCGCCTTCTCGACCTGGCCGCCTGGGCCCGCACACCCGACCCGCCAGTCACGGTCTACCACGCCGACCTGCCCGTCTGGTTCTGCCATGTGTTCTCTGCCCATTGTCCCTCTCTTGCTACTCTCCCTCGTGCTCCCTTGTCCCTTCATTCCGTCCGTTCTCTCCTCCCCTGCCTTAGGGCTGCACGACTGCACGACATACACGTTGCAGGTTAGAAACATATACTTCCAAGGGGGCACGATCGAAGACGAAGAGGGCGGGCATCGAGGGTGGGGACATCCCTGTACAGAAGAATGGCACGCGAGAAAGCAAGAACGAGCAGCCTTGAAATGATTGCGGATGTCATTGCTGCTGCTGTTGTTGGTGGTGGTATTATTTGATGCTGGCGGTGCTCTTGTTTCTGGTGGTGTTGCTTGTTGTAGTTGTAGTTGTAGTTGTAGTTGTAGTTGTAGTTGTAGTTGTTGTTGTTGTTGTTGTTGTTGTTGTTGGTAGTGGTGGTGGCGGTGGTGTTGGTGTTGGCGCTACTGTCGTCGTCCTCCCGGGGGCTGCATCGCGGGTGTGCCGTGGGTGGGCCGCGGCGCGGGAAGGTCGCGGGTGAGCTGCGGCGCCGAGGGGTCGCGCGCGGGTCGCGGCGCCGGGGCCCCGACGGAGCCCTCCCGGGGCCCTCTCTTAGGGGGGCCCCCGGGGGCCGCCGGGCCCCTCCGAGACGGGAGGGCCCCAAGGAAAGGAGGGGCCCCAGGCGTCAGACACAGGCATCGCCGCCCACTCGGTTTTGAAGATCGTCGGCCACCGCCCGGGAGAGAAGGCCTCACCATCGCCCCAAGGCGGATGGATGGATGGAATGCCCATTCGGGGAAAGTGCACAGCACTGAATGCTGAGCTCAGGCTCAAATTACTGGCCTCGAACTGAGGCCTCCTCAATGCCTATTCTCTCCATGAGAGCAGCCAGCCGCAGCTCATAGGTAGGGGCGGCCCCTGATCGTCGCCCCGAGGCGGCCCGAAAACGCCCCAGAGGGAGGGGCCCAGCCCGGGCCCAAGGGGCCACCAGGACGGCCCGAGAGGAACCAAGAACAGAAGTGGACAAAGCGCGGGTCCTGGGGGCAGTCCGTCTCTGGCAGTCTCTGGCGGGCAGGCGGTGCTTCCAGCGTGGCCCGACGTGGCCCCAGGAGGTCGCCCGGGAGCCCCCTGGGCCGCCGCCTTGGCTGCCCTGGGGGCTCTGGGGGCGGGTCGGAGGGGCCCACGGCGTCATGGTCCGAGTGGTTTTGGCTTCAGTATGGTTTGGGCCTCGGCGCACTCTCGGATCCAAAGGGGCGTCCACCACGGCACAGGGCGGGCCCCACGATCGCCCCACCGTGGCCTCAGGACGGCCCGAAAGCGCCAAAGAGGGGATCCCAAGGGGCCTCCAAGACGGGCCAAGAGAGGCCCAGGAGAAGACAACAGTCAGTGGGCAGCGGGTTCTGAGGTCGCGGAGCCGAGGGGCCGTGGGCGGGCCGCAGGGCGGGCGGGGCGCGGGTGGGTCGCAGGTGCCGCGCTGGTCCACCTCTTATCCGCTACTGCGGGGTGCACCGTAGGAGTACAGTCGGGGCGTTGACCTAAGGAACTCTAAATACGGAACGAGGCCCCTTATCCCCATAAGTTAAACTTCGATTTTCCATGGAAAACCTCAGGATAACCTCAGACAAACTGTTGAACCATCAAGGAACACCGAGCCCCTCCCCAACGAAAAAGGTTCCTTCTTCAGCGCCCCGACTGTATATGAGACAGCTGGACCCAGCCCTCGTAGGGATCTACCAGTGGTGGGTCGAGCCCTGGTGGGGATCTATTAGAGCTGGATCCAATCCAAACCGGATTTCACCAGCGCGGGATCGAGCCCTCATAGGATTCGATCAGAGCTGGGCTCAGCCGAGCAGGCTTCTACTAGAACTGACTCGAGCCCTGGCAGGATCCTGTTAAAGCTAAGTCGGGCCCTGGGGGAACATCCCCTCGGTTTTTCCGGACGCGCCGAATGTCTTGGGGGGGGGCCCAAGGTTCTGACAAGTCGCGGGAAGTTTCCCAGGCGAGCGTCCGTGAACGCTTTCTCTCATACCTTCCAAGCGTCCTAAGACTGCCATAAAGGACCCCCAGGCCCGCCCAATCGGGCCCTCGAGGCCCCCGAGGGGGCCTTAGAGGCCCCAAGAGGCCCTCAAGAGAGGCCCAGGACGTGGAACTCGAGAGGAAGCCAATAGACCCTCCACCCAGGGTAGCCCCCGAGAACGCCAGCAGGCCCCCGAGAGGCTGCCGGAGGCTCCAAGAGGCGCCGGGGGAGTCCCCAAGAGGCTTCGAAGGGGCCCCCAGAAGGCCGCAGAGAGGCCGCCAAGAGGTCTTCCATGAACCACCACGAGGCCTCCAAGAGGCGTCTTGCCCACGACACGTGCGCGGTGGCGGAATGAGCCGAGGGCGTGCTCATTTTGAAAAGTTCCCTGTGGGGCCTCGGCGTAATACACGGGCCACCCGAAGGCCGCGCAAAGAACGCCTCTCGTTGCCCAAATCTCTTCTAAGACGGTCAAGATGGCACTCGATGGCCTCCAAGATGCTTCCCAAACGGCCAGGATGGCCTCCAAGACGGTTCCAAGACGCCTCCAAGACAGCCAAGGTGGCCCCAACATGGCCCAAGATGTCCTCCACGGCCCAAGAGGCCCTGGAGACGCCACGAGAGGGTTCCAAGAGAATCTCTACGAGGCCAAAGCCATTCATCTTCCTTAGGTCTTTCAATGATTTTAGTTTTCTCGCCTTCTAGGGCGTCCGACGCCCCAAGACGGCCCCATGGGCCGCCAAGATCGCCGAAAGACGACCAAAGAGGGCCCCACAACAACTCGAGCCCCGAGACCTCCAAGACGGCCATGAAGCGCCCAGCGGGGACCCACGACTGCCAAGGGAGAGCCGCAAGACGGCCTCCGAGGTACCAAGAGGTCCCCTGGAGGCCACCAGGAGCCCCTGAGAGGCCCCCGACATGCCCCAGAAGACCCCCAAGAGGCCCCGGGAGGCTCCCAAGAGGCCCCGTCGAGGCCCCAAAGAGGCTCCCAGGAAGCCCACGGGAGGCCCTGAATGCCTCAAGAGGCCTCCTCCTCTTACTCCTCCTTCTCTTCTTTCTCGTTCTTCTCCTCCCCCGCCCTTCCACTCCCATTATTTGCCGAAAGGGTTCCACAACAGCTAGGGGAACATATAGTCCAATCGCTTGGCCAGACTTCGGCCCAACGTTTGGCCGCGTGGGCGTTTACAAAAAGCAGTGGGCGACGGTGATTCGGCGTAGGCGTCTTCGATACGTATTTGCTTGCCGCACACCACACAAACGCCACCCTGAACGGAGGCGTCGACCCAGTCACAACAACTCCACGGCCCTCGAACCCACGCCGAACGCAGTCACTGTGGCAACCACGGTGGGCGTTTCTCCTCCTGTGGACGGGCCGGCGGGATTGCGTCAGCCTCTCGAAGCTCAGGGATGAGAGAGAGGAGCAAAGGAGGCTAAACATGTAAAGGCGCTTAGGGGGCGTGCTCCCACTCCAACGACTACACATCCAAGGCGCCCTCTGCGTGGTGACAATGTATAAACTGTGGTCCTGGCCCTGCTGCCACGGACCCCTCGGCCAGCCGGCCTGGGTGGCGACGTTTGCCGCTTCCCCCGGCCGCGTCGGCAGGGAGAACCCCTCCTCTGCACACCGGCCTTCGAACGGGCGCGGGCCGAGGCGTGCCGCATCTTGCCTGGCGCACCTCGGCCCAGACCTCAGCGAGGGGAGCGGGGGCAAGAGGTGGACGGGGGGCGAGCCCGAAGGGGAGGGGGCGGGGAGGAGCGAGAGCGCAGCGCAGTACAGCCGGGCGCGCACGGCAGAGCTGGGCGCGGCCTCAATACCGCGCCGCGGCGGTGCCCACAGTGCGCCCAGCAGCGGCCTCGGCAGCAAGAGGTATCGGAAGCGTTTGTCGGGCCGTGCCCGTGTTCCGATCGTCCGGGTGCTCGGCGGACAACGGGCCAGGCGCGACACACCAGCATCCTGTGGTTAGAGGCCTCCTAGATGGGGTCGGAGTAGATGGGGTCGGAGGGTCGCGCCGCATCGCCGATACGTCGGCGATGCATCGGCTATGCATCGGCGATGCACCTGCGATGCATCGTCGACGTCGGCGATGCATCGGCGACGTCGACATGAAGCAAATCAGGCTCCACATCGAGCCGCATCACCGATGCATCGGCGATGCGGCGCGCTCCTCCGACCCCATCTACCCCGACCCCATCCAGGAGGCCTAGAGTGGTCCGGCCGCGACGGACTCCCAGAGAAAATCAGACGCCGAAGGTTGAGCTGGCCCTGCCGCTAATTAGCCTCGGAGGGGGGGGGATCCTCTTCCTTGGCTCGGTCTTCTGGGGAGACTTGGCACCCCGCCGGGGAGGCCCAGCCTCACAAGGGGTACGCGAGCGCCGCAGAGGTCCAGGTGCGAGACACGAGCTCTGTGATGCATGCCCGTCGCAGGGCGAGGCGCCGAATTTCTGCGCTCGCCTGTTTCATCGGCCCACATCGCACGTCTGGCCACTGGCGCGACTTCGCTGGAGAGCGGCTCACTGGACCTCAGCCGATGTGTATCGTGCGACGTATCCCGGGGGAGTTCGATCCACTCGTGTCCGCCGTCGAGAAGTCCTTGGAGCTTGTTTCGATCAAGAACTCCTTAGTCTGCGTCTTGCTCGAGAAGCCCTTGTCGAATGTCACCCGTGGAGATCGCGCTGTGGGATCTCTCGATGGTATGACGTTTACGTTGTGGACTGGGTCTACCTTGGTCTCAATGGGTGTGCTGTAGGAGCGGACGAGGGTGGCACGGTTCTTTTTGTTCGCCAGCCAGAGTGCGGACTTCAGCCCCCGCGTTCCAGTGAAACGCCGATTGACGTTGGACCAGCCGTCCCCGTCCTTGTCACCGCTGGCTTCTCGAACGATCTTCTTGATCGTCTGCGGGCTGTTGAAGAGCAGATCCTCGCACTCCGTGTTCTTGCTCGCGCTGTTGAACTCCTTAATGAAGACCTCCGCGTAGCTCGCGCAGAACCTCAGAGGACCAGGGTGCGCCTTCGCAATCGACTGGAACTCTGACGGGAGCACCGTGATGAGCTCGCATCCAGCATAAGCGGCCGTGAAGGGCCCATCTACCAGGGACGCCTTGGACCACAGCGTCTCCTCGCAAGCCCAGTTGCCCGCTGTGACCTCCAGGGGTAGTGTTTTGTGTCCACGGTGGCAATAAGACACCATACCGATCCGTACAAAGAACATGCGGTTCACGCTTTGGCCGTGCCAAAACATCTCCTCGAGCGGAAGCATCGACACCTCATCCGTTGCGCGAGCACACACGTGACGCATGCCCACAGGGCAGAGTTCCATGTAGAAATTGAAGAACGGGTGGGTTTTGAGGAAGGGCATGAGCGCCTCGTGGCGCAACTCCTCGCGGATTGCCTTTGGCAGAAGCTGCATGCACGGGATCTCCGACTCCTTGATGCGCTTTTTTGCCAAGCGCGTGTGCTGAAGCATGAAGAACTTGCAGCGAGCAGCGAGCCCCCGATTGATGCGGAACTCGCTGAAGTACGTTCGCATGAGCTGCTCCTGCTCGACCTTCCGAGCATGGTGCAATCGGAGGAGGGTCATGGCCTGGGTGATGCTCGACACGAACGAAGAGAAGACCACCATAGCAAATATGATGACAATGCATGTGTACAGACGCTCCGGGACGTTCACTGGCACAACCTCCATGGACGCAGGCGTAAACTGCGTGAGGGCCCAGTGCATAGAGGTCCGCCACCGTGCCCTCTGCACGTCGCCGCGCCTCAGGGTAAGGATTGGCCGCCTGGCCAGGATGCACGCCGTCCCAGGAACGAGCCCCCCCCCCCCCGCTCCTCGGAGCAAGAGGTGTTGCCCTTTGGAGCTCCTCTCGGCTCGAGCGGGATCGGCCCCGAGAGGTGCCAAGACCGCCTCCAGGCGACTCTTCGAGATGCCGGGGGCCCCCAAGCACGCACAAGAGACCGCCAGCGGCTCGCACAATTGCTTGAGCCCACCCCAGGGAGCACTCGAGGAAGACCACGGTCCGAGAAAGGCTCACACACCCAAAGGATCATTACAACAGTCGCCCTGAGACAGTTTGTCCTTCGTTGCCCGCGCGTCCTCAACATGCAGCATGTACACCTACATCGGGCTCGAGCTTAGCCGCCCCGGTACGCAACACGCAACACGTAGCGTTTTGATACGGAGCTCAACACGTATCCTGAATACGTGGGTGCGACGCGATACATTCGCCAAAACGTGTTCCAACACGTGGAGCCGACACGTAACGTATGGGCACGGACGTCTTGGGTACAGCACGTGTTGCGTATCACAGCGTGCGTATCGAGGCAGCTAAGGGCTCGAGGGGCGGGCGCGAACGGACGGGCGGAACGCTGCACGGGGCGGCCGGTGGCTTCACGGCAAGCAAGCCGGCGGACCCTGACGGGCAAGGTCGGGCGGCGGACCAACCCCCTCCTCCTCCTCCTCCTCCTCCTCCTCTTCCTCCTCCTCGTCCTCCTCCTCCTCCTCCTCCTCCTCTTCCTCCTCCTCCTCCTCCTACATCGGGCTCGAGGGGCGGGCGCGAACGGACGGGCAGAACGCTGAACGGGGCGGCCGGTGGCTTCACGGCAATCAATAAGGCGGCCCCACTACGGGCAGGATCGGGCGGCGGACGAAACCCCCTCCTCCTCCTCCTCCTCACCCTCCTCCTCCTCCTCCTCCTCCTCCTCATACTCCTCCTCCTTGTCCTCCTCCTCCTCCTTTTCCTCCTCCTCCTTTCCTCCTCCTCCTCCTCCTCCTTCCTCCTTTTCCTCCTCCTCCTCCTCCTCCTCCTCCTCCTCCTCCTCCTCCTCCTACACCGCCTCCTCCTCCTCCTCCTCCTCCTCCTCCTCCTCCTCCTCCTACACCCTCCTCCTCCTCCTCCTCCTCCTCCCTCCCTCCTCCTCCCTCCTCCTCCTCCTCCTCCTCCTCCTCCTCCTCCTCCTCCTCCTCCTCCTCGTCCTCCTCCTCCTCCTCCTCCTCCTCCTCCTCTTCCTCCTCCTCGTCCTCCTCCTCCCCCTCCTCCTCCTCCTCTTCCTACATCGGGCTCGAGGGGCAGGCACGAGCGGGGCAGCCGGTGGCCTTACGGTAATCAAACCGGCGGCCCCACCACGGGCAGGGTCGGGCGGCGGACCACTCCCCGTCCTCTTCCTCCTCCTCCATTTCCTCCTCCTCCTCGTTTTGGAAGCGACTAAAACCGGGAGGTTATCCAAGACTTAATTCCGGAGTTAAGTCGGCCCGACTCCGGGGTCAAGGCCACCCCGCGGAAAACTTAACTCCGGAGTGGGGTCGCCGCCAAGCTGGCGGACGCACCAGCTATTACACGAATTAATTCCGGAGTTAGGTGATTCCCACGCCGCCCGCCCCAGCCAGGCACAGACTTAACTGCGGAGTTAAGTCGCCGCGGCATTGGGTTGGGTGCCGCGACGATTGAAAGGACAGGAAGTGAAAGAGGAAGAGGAGGGCGACGACGGAAGCGACTGAAACCGGGAGGTTATCCAAGACATAATTCCGGAGTTGAGTCGGCCCGACTCCGGGGTCAAGGCCACCCCGCGGAAAACTGAACTGAGGAGTGAGGTCGCCGCCAAGCTGGCGGACGCACCAGCTATTACACGAATTAATTCCGGAGTGAACTGATTCCCACGCCGCGCGCCCCAGCCAGGCACAGACTTAACTGCGGAATTAAGTCGCCGCGGCATTGGGTTGGGTGCCGCGACGACTGAGAGGACAGGAAGTGAAAGAGGAAGAGGAGGGCGACGACGAGGAATATGAGGAGGAGGAGGAATGAGGAGGACGAGGAGGAAGAGGAGAAGGAGGAGGAGGAGGAGGGGGAGGAGGAAGACAAGCTAGGTGCCTTCGCGTCATATCTGACATCCTACCCCTCCCTCCCATCCCTTACCATGGCGTAGATCCCCTCTCTACTCGCACAGTCGGACGTCGAGCAGGGCAATGGTCCCGAAAGGGTACGCGATGCATTGTAGAGCACGGCGTGGCATGGCGTAGAAGAGCACCGCAAAGCGTAGTGTGTCACAGCATGGCGTGGCGTGGCGCGGTGAAGAATTGCATCAGAAAGCGTTGCAACGCAGAGCATGGCATCGCACAGCGGCCCCGAACATAACATTGCATAGCATGGCGTAGAAGATCTAAGCGTAGCACGGCAGAGCACGAGGCGGCAGTTAAGCACTGCACATCACAGCTTCAGCTGAAGGCATGGCATCGCGCAGCGGAACGCAGCCTAGCATTGCATTGCATGCCGTGGTATGGCAAGGGACATGGCGCCAGCGCTGCAGCGGGAGCACGATTCGGAACGAGCGGAAGCGCGGAAATGAGGCCAGCGCTGCAGCGGGACCACGATTCGGAACGAGCGGAAGCACGGAAATGAGGCCAGCGCTGCAGCGGGAGCACAATTCGGAACGAGCGGGACCCGAAAATGAGGCCGGCGCCTCAGCGAGAGCAGCATTTTGAAAACATATGCAAGCGAAAACCCAACTCCAGGGAATCCTGCGTGTAAAAAAACAATACGCGGGGGGGGGGGGGGGGCGAACGCTCCCAAACCGTCATCAGGGGAAGGAAGATAATAATATTCATATTACATCAGGGCACGGGGGGCCGAACGCCGCAGGAGCGCGACTGCGACTGCTACCTCTGTCCGCCACGCGCCCGGGTCGCCGCCGAGCTCCACCTCGCCCCCACCCTCCCTTTCTTAGGCGGGCGCGATGCGCAGACTGCTTCCCGCCAATCGCAAAGCAAAACTACGGAATGAGCGAGGTACGCCGATAACGACGAAGCATACAAAGAGTCTTGGACAATAATCAAAATCAGACACGCTTCGATGCTCGCCGACCTCCACCTCCCCCTACCCCCCCCTAGCCCGACCACAGAGGCCCTGGGCGCTGGATCCGCTCTCACTTCCAGCGCCTCTTCGGGCATGGCTCGTCGCCTGGCCTGGCGTCGGGCCCGCCGGCGCCGCCGCCGTCGCCCGGGGGGGCCGCCGGGGGGGCGGCGCCGCCGTCGCCCGGGTGGGCGCCCGCCGACTCCGCGCCGTCGAAACGCAGCTGGTCGAAGCTGCAAACGCGGACGGCGGGCCGCCACCTCGGCGCGACCAGCGGGCGCGGAGCGGGCGACGGCCGGGGGCGACTGCGACCCCCCCCGGCAATATACGCTGGAAGCTCTAAAACTTGTCTGCGTGCTAAACCTTCCAAAAGAAATCACCGAGGGCCCCAATGTCTTGAGGTGCGTCGGCCAAGCCCGACTGAAGTTGGCCATAGTATGCGAGGCGACCATGGGGGGCGGCGCGCGGCGCGAGGGCCCGCGGCCGCCGCATCCACGCGCTCGGCGCGCGCGAATCCATGGCAAACTAAGCCAGCCGCAACGACCTGTCGATGCACGTGGGCGGCTCGATGTCGCGGCAGTGGGCGCCCACGTCGCCCTCGACGTCAGAGATAATGACCTCGGCTCCGCGGGCGGGGGGGTCTCGCACGCCCCCGCCCCCAGGCGCGCCCGACGCCGCGCGCGCGCGCTAATCGCAGAGCCCGCGAGAACCCTGCCGGCTGGCGGTTGCGCTGGTGGTTGCGCGAGTGGTTGCGTTGGCGGCTGCGCTGGCGGTTGCGCTGGCCGCCGCGCTGGCTGTTGCGGCGGCCGCGCTGGCGGTTGCGCCGGTGGTTTGCTGGTGGTTGCGACGGCGGCTGTGCTGGGCGCGATGCTTTTTCCCCACGTGCTTGGTGGGGTTATGGTTTTCTTCTCTGCCGCGGCGCACCCGCGCCTCCCCCCTAACGCGCCGCGCCCGCGACTCACGCAGCATAGCGCAGCACAGCGCAGCACAGCACAGCAGACAGCAGCACAGGCCAACACAGCAGAGCACGTCCCAGTGGTCCCCTATCCGTTGCGGGCTCGCAAAACGTGGAAGGCGTGGCACTTCCTCGACGCCGCGGGGGGTGCGCTGGGGGTGGTCTCCCTATCCGTGTAGGTGGGTGCGCTGGGGGTGGTCTCCGAGCGCGGCGTCTATGCGGGCCATGGCGCAGGGCGTGGCAGGTGTGGCACTTTCTCCACCTCGTAGGGGGTGCGCAGGGGGTGGTCTCCGAGCGCGGCGTCTATGCGGGCCATGGCGCAGGGCGTGGCAGGTGCGGCACTTTCTCGACCTCGTCGGGGGTGCGCAGGGGGTGGTTCCCGAGCGCGGCGTCCATGCGGGCCACGGCGAAGGGCGTGGCAGGTGTGGCACTTTCTCGACCTCGCAGGGGGTGCGCAGGTGGTGGTCTCCGAGCGCGGCGTCTAATGCGGGCCACGGCGCAGGGCGTGGCAGGTGTGGCACTTCCCTCACCCCGTGGGGAGTGCGCAGGGGGTGGTCTCCGAGCGCGGCGTCCATGCGGGCCACGGTGCAGGGCGCGGCAGGTGCGGCACTTTCTCGACCTCGGAGGGGGGCGCAGGGGGTGGTCTCCGAGCGCGGCGTCTAATGCGGGCCATGGCGCAGGGCGTGGCAGGTGCGGCACTTTCTCGACCTCGTAGGGGGTGTACTGGGGTTGGTCTCCGAGCGCTGCGTCGAATGCGGGCCATGGCGCAGGGCGTGGCAGGTGTGGCACTTTCTGCACCCCGTAGGGGGTGCGCAGGGGGTGGTCTCCGAGCGCGGCGCTTATGCGGGCCATGGCGCAGGGCGTGGCAGGTGCGGCACTTTCTCCACCTCGTAGGGGGTGCGCAAGGGGTGGTCTCCGAGCGCGGCGTCAAATGCGGGCCATG